GGGGGGGGCTCAGAACATTTTAATGTTCTCTATATCTGGAAAGTTGTTTGCCCATCCTTTGAGGTTAATTCCTCATTTTCAGTTTTGGCACACTAAACTGCACTTCCAGCTTTCCTTGACAATTGTGTCAACTACCACAATTTCCAATTTCTCTCCTGTTTCTCTTATGGCACTTTTCTCAACCTACTACAAGACCAAAATTAGAAGCTCCCCATAAGTAGCACACAGGAGTGGCATCTGCACATAGGTACCACAACTTGCTTGTGTGCTTCCCCAGCAACCTCAGGGCTGAGGAACACTGCTGACCTAGATGGCCTGCAAATTCAAGCTGTGGTCAGGCCTGGTGGCACAATGCCTGCAATCCCAACATAATAGTATGTTTCAGAACAGCCTGGGCAACTTAACCARATCCAACTAAAAATAAATAAATAAAATAAAAAATAAAAAAAATTGCAAAATAGGCTAGAGATGTAGCTCAGTGGTAGAGCACTTGTAGCATGCACAAGACTCTGGGTATCACAGACAAAAAAAAAAAAAAAAATCAAGCTGTTGCTAGGCATGCAGGTGCATACCTGTAATCCCAGTAGCTCAGACAAGGAAGGCAGGAGAATCACAAGTTCAAGGCCAACCTCAGCAATTTAGTGAGACTGGGGATTATCTCAGTGGTTAATGCCCCTTGGTTCAATCCCCAGTACATAAATAAATAAACAAGCTGTATACTTCCCTCAGGCTCCTGGTGGCCAAATGATATATCCCCTTGGTAATYGTGAAGAGAAGTGGCTTTTAATATCTCTCCAAGCTTAATTGACATTTTTATTGCAGTAATGTCAAAATAGTCAAGATTTCATTTTTACTTATTCTTGTATATTGCAACATCTATCGTATTATATAGTAGGCACTCAGTAAAGAATCTTGAGAGAATCTATTGTTTAAATATTTAGTTGTAGATGAACACAACATCTTCATTTTTATTTATCTTTATGTGGTGCTGAGGATAGAACCTAGGGCCTCATGCATGTGAGGCAAGCGCTCTACCACTGAGCTATAACCCTAGACTGGAATGTGGCTTTTGAGTCCTGATAGTTTAATTTTTATGGCTATAGGAGGAGAAAAAAAATAYGAGGACCATGTGCTGAGCAACTCATTTTCTTCTCCACTAAAAGCCTGTGTGAGGTGGGGCTAAGACCTGCTTAATCCACTTCCTAAAGATATGAAAAAAAAAGGTCTCCTTGTAGAGTTGGCCTATTCCTTGTTGGGGCAGGAAGGTACTTGGTGAACCCAGAGCACTTATTGTTGCAGAAAATGATGAAAGTTTRCAAGATTAAATCTGAATTCATGAAAGATTGAGTAAGTCTATTTCACTTATTTTTCAATCATGTTCATATTGTCTAATTTATTGTATCAAATGACATTAAAATATGGATTTTTTTAAAAATAAAACTGAGGGGCTGGGATTGTAGCCCAGTGGTAGAGTACTTGTCTAGCATGTGAGGTAATGAATTTGATTCTCAGAACCACATATAAATAAATGAATAAAATAAAGGTCCATCAACATCTAAACAATTTTTTAAAAATAAAACTGAAGTTACCTCAAGGATCACAAAGCCCATGGAAATATTCTGGTTTCTTTGGGGGTAATTAAATCCAAAGAATTGTACACTTTTTTAAATATTTCTTTTAGTTGTCAGTGGACCTTCATTTTATTTAGATGTGGGGCTGAGAATCAAACCCAGTGCCTCACACATGCTAAGAAAGCACTGAGCCACAACCCCAGCCCAAGAGTTGTACATTTTAAGAGCAAATTTTGGGCAGGCATGGTTGTAGCTCAGTGGCAGAGCACTTGTATAGCATGTGTGAGGCACTGGGTTTGATCCTCAGCACCACCTAAAAATCAATAAATAAAATAAAGGTAATTGTGTCTATCTACAACTAAAAAAAATTTTAAAGTACATTTTATGGTATATAAATTTTATCTTAGCAAGGCTGCAATTAAAGTGTACAGGATAGCAAATCCAATTAAAATAGCACTGTCAAGACTACCTTGACCAAGCTTGTCATTTGAGAGAAAAAAAGCCATAATTTTCTTTTAACTAGCCCTGAAGAAGAAAACTTTGGGGAATAAAAGCCTGAGTCAGAAATGATGGCAATATTCAGGCCTGAATAAGGGTGATTTACAAAACTATTTTGAGGGAAAATTTAATAAGACATTTGAGTAGAGAATCACCAAGACTACTTGATTTAATAACAAATATGTAATACCTTGGGCTTAATATAGTGGAACTATAGATTATAATGGAAATGGTACCAAACTAACACAATCTAATTATACCCTTAACATAAATTCATATTAAACTCAAGTCTACTCAGTAGTAAATAGTATCCCATATTGCAGGGTTGTCCATGAAGAGCCTATTACTTCTGAGTAATATAACAACAAAAAAATGGCACCTTTATGACTTTATATCTTAAATTGGTGAGGAGTGGTAGCATATGCCTATAATCCCAGCAACTTGGGAGACCGAGGCAGGAGGATCCAAAGTTCAAGACCAGCCTCAGCAACTCTGCAAAACCCTGTCTCAAAATAAAAATAAGGGCTAGGGATGTAGCTCAGTTGATACAGTGCTTGCCCCACATGCACAGGCCCTGGGTTCAATCCCCAGCACCACAAAATTAAATAAAAAGAATTTAATAGAATAGTCACTGTTCAAGGTTTATTTGATATTTCAGTTGGTATGACACTTGGATAGCTGGTTGTAATGTTCATTTGTAGATCTTTCTTTTACATTATATGGAAATGTACACTACAGATACATATAATACACAAAATAAAATCCTTTAGAACAGTTATACATAAGACATGTGATATTGGATTTAACATTGGATCCCAGGATGTGACTGAATGAAAAAAAAAAAAAACAAAATTGGACTAGGCATGTTTGATGAAGGTATATCACACAACATGCACAATGTTGTGCAACATTGGCAGTGGTATCTCAGAGATGGTGGAACTATTTTACACTATTTTAGGACTACACAAATTAAGTACTATCCAGCATCAGGATATCTGTAGGGTTTTATACGCCATTCCTATTTGTAACTTTAGAAAATTGATGTTTTTCCCAGGCCATCTGCTTTAATCTCAGAACAGATAAAAAGGACAACATGCACACCTCCAACTAAAATCCTGTTGTATCCTAGACAGTGAAGTGGTATGACATTAGAAGCCTTTAAAACTGCAGCTCTTTTTGGATTCCCCAAAGTGTATCTGCACTCTTCTTCAAACGTGCCTCTTCCTCAGGAGTCAAATTCACCTTCACAACATCTGAGATTCCATTTTGTCCCAAGATGCAAGGCACACTTAGAAAAACATCATCCTTTATTCCATAGAGACCCTGAAAACAAAAAGAAAATAATTTACATTTTATCTATACAATCTGGGGTTTCCCAAGACTTACATTCTTTGCCATTATGAAGTTTATTTGACTTAATAAGCAGAAATTTATTTCCAGATGTTCACTTATATAATCAAGAATGTAAAAGAAAACCACTAAAAACACCAACAACATATATATATTTAAAGAAAAACTATTATTATTATACACAGTACTTCCCAATATTTATTATGCAACATTGTGGTAAGTAACAGTGATTTCTATTTTTCCCAATGACAAAATCTGTCTCCTATAGACTTCTATCTATTTAAACATAACAAGTTTTTCAGTCAAGTTATCAAGTATATATGTGTGGACATTTATCCTACATATCAATCATTTATTTCCAAAGTTCTGAGTGCATTAAGTTATTTCACTTCAGTGAACAGGACTTCCCTTAACCTGCTTTCTCAGAAGAATCTTTTCCAAAAAACCAGGAAATAGGGCTGGGGATATAGCTCAGTGGTGGGGGTTTTCCTCACAACCACAACAGCAACAGAAACAAAAGCAAAACAGAAATAAGTATTCAAATACAACGTATCACTACATGGACCTACCTTAATCATGGTGGAAATTGGATGCACCCGTCTAAGATTCTTCATTATACTTTCTGCCAAATCTGCCACAGACAGTCCAATGGCCCAGGA